ACCTCACGTACTGAAACCATACATGCTGGCTACTAGACTAATACACCTAATATCATATTAATGAATAGGAACAATACTTACAGTATTACTACGAGTATACTTTACGTATAGTAAGCAAGTCTTACTTACAGCTTGATTTTATCTCTATGCATATTTTGCAAGTAAAAATGCTCAGATGTTCCTTAAAATTCAATTAATCTCCGAAAAGATGTACGAATAAAATATGTACAAAAGTAACGCTAACAAACCCGTGATAATACGGATGGGACGTGATCCAATTTATATGCTGACGAAGACGGACGCCTTAACAACTAAAGTTGTTGTAAAAGGTAAACAGGACTAACCACAAAAAAAATTAGAAAAACGCCATTGGAAAGATGATTGAATATTTTTTACAAAAGATAATAATAGTCTCTCCCGTGACCACAATTGCTGTAAAGCATTCAAAACGTCGGGAAGCAAAAATCAAAATAAATCCGCGAAAAAGTTCGAATTTATATAATATTATTATATTTTATTATAAATAATAATTTTATTTATAATATAGGATAATAATAGACTTTGCCTCTAAGCCATTTTTTTTTCTAATGTAAGAAAAACACCCTACAGTCTCGCTTAATTTTTATGCCAGTTACTCTCACGATAAACACATTATTTTCGAACTGTTTTCACGTCTTGAACTTTAAGTATAAATCTGTACATTAAATATTTTTTGGAAAATCTCATTGAAATAGCCATTATTATCGATACAGAGGCCGAATCTATAGGTTTTAGATTTTTTGTCTGTTTGTCTGTCTGTCTGTTACCGCATCATAGAAAAACCACTAGAGGAATTTTGATGAAATTTAGTATGGTGATAGCTGGTTATTCGCGTCAACATATACTTTTTTACCGCAGGAAAATATCTTATTTTTGAGAAAAAATACAAAAACTGCATTGTAAGAGTATACTAACATGTAAAATCTAAGAATTTGGTTTTTGGTCATCTGAACGTACGTATTAAATACGTATTAAATAAAACTATCTTTTCGGATTTTTTTACAGATTTATTTAGATTTTTGGACGTTCGGGGTAAACGTCTAAACTAAAAATCAAAATAAATCCGCGAAAAAAGCCGAAAAGATAGTTTTATTAAAAATGTAAATATATGTACTCGTTCAATTAGAAAAATAAACTTAGACTTTGACAACCGTATAGCATAGTCTGGTTATGATGTAAATTTGTGTTAGCTAGTTGAAAATTAAACTAAGAATTTCATTTACGAGGCGGTTTTATTAAAGAAGATACTCTGGAAAACTCAGAGAGCATTAATCACACAACAATATTAACGGAAGCCTCAGCAAGAAATTGTAAGTTCTTATTTTATACAAGCCTTCGAGAAACTCGTCTCATTCGTCATTTTGATTTTATTATTCGTTTAATATTTTTAATTAAATAGTTAAAGTCTACAATATTATTAAATGAGCAATTCTTGTATATCTATATCTGTATATATAAAAGGCAAAAGAGATTGACTGATGTATCAATGCACAGGCCAAACCCTTAAGGCTAGAAAATTGAAATTTCGCACACGTTTTTCTCATATGATGAAGGCATCCACTAAGGAAGGACTTTCAAAATTCAACCCCCAAGGGGGCGTAATAGGGGATAAAAGCATTTGCATGAAACGTATGAATTGAGTACGTCAAAAATAACGAGTTACGTATTTCAGCGTTTTCTAAAATTCAACCCATAAGAGGGTAAAATTGGAAATGAAAGGTTTTTTGAAACCCACTTTATAGTCTGTTTGTAGTTTTACCGTTGGTAGAAACGGCTCTAACAATTTAGATCAAATATTGTAATTAAGATGAGGTTTCGCTTTTTTTTAAGATTATCTACGTAGGTGTCTTTCCTAAAAGAACGTAATTATATCTTTTTCGAAAAAAACATTTTATAAAAAAAGCCGAGTGAAGGTTCTGTATTTACATATGTAATTGTACTCTTAATACATTAATTTCATTATTTTCTGAAATGGGAAACGATATTAAAATTTAGCAAGTAACAGTGGAAGTACCACACTGAATGTTCCGTAGTTGCAGTGCTTTTAACAAAAAAAAAACTTTATAATTGTCGTTGAAACTGCGAATTAGTGCGAATCTAATTTGGTATATTTTTTATTTTTATTTATTATTTTTCCTTAAAGCGTATAGCACGTACTGTTATTATAATAACACCATGTTTGATGTCTGTAACTACTTCTTTGTGAGCAAAAACGAATAGCACTCTTAAAACAAGTTTTTTTATAGAGTGAAGCAAACGGACACGCGAAGGACGTAAGCTTTATCCACGTCATCACGACTCTGGCACGACATCTATGAAATTCAAAATAAAAAACGAAATATAAACAAAATAAGTCCACTAAAAAATCCGACAAAATACTTAGTTATTAAGAATTTCAAATATACCTTAACCGTAAAAACGTAAAAGTGTAAACCTAAAAATGTATTATAACATCCTATAAGTTTATATACGACAATCGGTCCTGCGCCCTAACTCTCACTGGTCGTGTCGAGCAATCGTCCCACCGGAGTATGAGAGGGACAGGAATAGAGAATGCACGTTGTGTCTGCGCGTACACTTGTGCACTATAATATCTCCTGCGCAGTTGGCTAGTCTCAATGAGATTGGCCGCCGTGGCCGGCATAGGCTAGGAGAACTTCATCATAAATAAATTAAGTATGAATTAAATTACAGATAGATAAGTACGAGTAAAAAAGTACAAAGAACTTGGACTAGACAACAAAAATAAAAATTTGACTGACAGCATCAAAAGTAAGCACTGTTAGTTTATTTTTTACGCCATCCAAGCTCGTTATATATTTTTTTCTTTATTTAAGATTTTTCTTTTTCGTTAAATCGACCATTTTACTCTGATAGGTTCACATATAAAATTTCTTAAATTTAACTAATTACACGGTTAGTACAATTATTTATGCCCGATATAGTAGCTTTATGTAGATTGTAAGTATATGAATTCTATACAATATTATGGTATAAATAAATATGTTGGGACATTAACACAGCACCATCTAGTTTCATGGTAAGCTACAAGGCTTGTGTTATGGATACCAGATAGTTGATACACTACACATATATAACTTTAAATACATACATATCATGAATATAAACACCCATGACTGGAGTACAAACATTCGTGCTCATGACACAAATGAACGCCCCCAGCCCGACTCGAACCCACGACCACTGACACAGCAAATAAGGTCACTACAAACTGAGCTTTAACTTTAACATCTTCTAAATAGTGTCGTGGGTAAGAAATAAATAAAATTTGTTGTACATGGTCTATTATTTTAATGCGAAATCTAAAGTAAAATTTAATCGATTCAATTAATTATGTCTGATAAAATCTTAAAAGATTTATAACAGGTTCGTAATCTCTTAATGAATAAAGGTAATTATGTTGTCGAAACTCCTAATTAATATCACCAAGCCCGTAATCTCCGGTTGAATCTCAGCTCGCTTTAATTGTAAATCTATGAATTTATATCATACTAGCGTTTCTCCGCGGATCTGCTCACGTAGTTTATGTATAATTATTCCACTTCTAAATCAATCAATCCCCCATTTCTTTCTTCCCCAAAAGATAATAAATAAATAAATATTTTGGGACATTGACACACAGCAACATCTAGTTCCATGGTAAGCTGTGAGGCTTGTGTTATGGATACCAAATAGTTGATACACTATACGTATATAACTTTAAATACATACATATTATAAATATAAACACCCATGACTGGAGAACAAACATTCGTGCTCATCACACAAATGAATGCCCTCAGCGGGACTTGAACCCGCGACCGCTGGCACAGCAAGTACATTACAAACTGAGCCACATGCGTCGTCAAATGTTTTCAGAAAAAAATGTTTTCAAAAAAACTTTAAATTATAATAATAGTTACTTTTAACAAGAAAGATTATTTCCATTTTGGTGATTGAACTTTCTTCCAATTACGAGTACATAATGTATACTTGAAGCTTAGACGAGATGTCTATAAAATCTAGAATCTAGAAATCTGTAAAGAATTATGATAATGATTATTATATAATCCTTCTGAGGCTTAACGATTAAATTTGTCATTTTAATACAATTTTGTATATTTCTATTCTATGATGATTGTAAAATGGCACGTTGTTTAAGCCTTGAAAATTATCTTGATAAATATACGGTATGATTGCGGCGTGCAATTTTAATGAAAAGACGTTTTACTCCCAGCAACGCGACAGTATTTTTATAGTATGTCTCTTTGAAAATGTGGTATTATTTTTTTATTATATTTTTAAGAAACTTAAAAATTATTATTATTTTTAGATTAGTTATTTAAAGTTAGTGTAGAAAACGTTTAGAAGGTCTAAATATAATTTTGTCAATATTTTGGTAATTTGGGGGCACGGTAGTTCACCAGCCAAGTCGAGCAAACAAGATAAACATTGTGCTGAGCTATTTATTGCCTTATTAATTAGGAATTACAATAAATTTTATGATATATAATACAATAAAATAAAAAAAAATGATTCTTCATGTGATTTCACAACTTTTAGCATGATTCTTACTGGATGCAAAGCTTGGCAAAATTTTGACATTTTACATTTCTAATGGATTTTCTTATACTTCACATATAAGTCATATTTTATATTCAATTTAAGCTCAGTAACATATTTTAGTTTTTAGTTTTAATTATCTTATTATTATTATGGCGTTGACAAAATCGTGAAACGACTGCAAACTATTCGCAATTTTTAACTAACAAGGTACACCGACTCAATTCGTTGTACATGGACAAAAACGCCCGAATTGAAAACATCATCTATTTATAAAGTCGGGCAATACACTAAATTATTTATATTTAAATAGTATTTATTTATTATATAATACTTACATTTTTTTATTTTATTAGAAATAATATGTATTTTATGTAAACTTATAGAATAATACTTACGTAGTAAGAATGTCATAGACCGTGTATCTCGCTAAGTAGGAGTATTGGTGTATCTTGCGCGGCGCGTGCGCAAGAAGTAAAAAACGCCGGTCCGCTGACAGCGAAAACGAAGCTGGTTCTAGAACTCTCTGTGAAAGATAAACGTTAAAATTATAGACAAAAACAAACAGAGATTTCAATGATATTTAAAAACTAGAAGAAATTTAACATTATGTTTCCTTTATAGAAGTTAAATTTCATTTACTATTAAAATCTCTATGAAAAACTTATATATACTAATATTATAATGAGGTAAAGTTTGTGAGTTTGTAGGGGATAATCTCTGGATCTACTGAACCGATTTAGCTGAAATTTGGTAAAAAGATAGTTTGAGACCCTGAAAAAGTCATAGAATAGTTTTTATTCCGGAAATCACTCCTTAAAAGGGTGAAAATGGAGATGAAAGTATGTATGAGGAATTAACCCCGGGGACGAACCCAAGCGAAGTGAGAGTGAGTCGCTAGTAAAATATATATTTTAACATAAAATAACGTTAACAAATGTCATTTTCATATATTTTAATATTTAATAAGCGATAGCTATTCTAAAATGTAGCGATAAAAAGTTTTTAACATATTCCCTCCATATTATATGGCATTCGTTCCTTTTTCGCACGTCATTAAACGTGTAATTAAAAAATATGCAATATTTAATAATAATAATAATGAACACTTTATTGCACACCACACAAGAAAATAAATAAAGAAGTGAAATACATAACAATAAAAAGATGCACAGCAGGCGGCCTTATCGCTAGAAGCGATCTCTTCCAGGCAACCTTAGAATTAATATTAACGCTCATACTTTATTTTTTACTGTGGCCCCTTAAAATCACCGAAAATTTCAATGATATTAAGTAACCAATTTACAATTAACTTATATTTAAAATGCCTTACGTTTTTTTTACATATTTCTCTTTATAACAACATTCTTTTAAATGAAACCCACAAATCAAATTTAGCAGTTAAAAAAATATGACAACTTTATTCCATTACGTATCGGATATTCTATTAGCCGTTTCATGATAGAACAAACTTAGCGTGCCGACTGTCACGCGAAAATATTATCGTAACATTAAATTACTATCTGATAAGCTCGCTATAGGATATATATTAAAATAATTATTGGATCGAGTTTTCAAACGTATAATAAAATTAAAATAGGTCGAATTCAAGAATTACATAGGTTTTTAGATAATTAAAACTTTTATTATAATAATATAATTCTTTCTTAGATTTACGTGAATATTTGATATTTTAATTGAAATTATCTTTTCGGTTTTTTTGCGGATTTATTTAGATTTTTGATTCTCGACGTTTTGAATTTTTACAGTGATCATGGTTATGGTGGAGTCTTTCCTGTGACCATTTTATTTAAAACTTCAATTTTAAGTTTTTCATTTTTAGGAAAATTATGTAGGAGTTAAAAGTTAAAACGCTTCCACATAAACGGTGAGGCGCTTACTAATTTTTCTACGTCCAGATGTCATACATCACTAAAAATCACACATTAATACACAAAATAGAGCTTTTTTAGAAAAATATGTATTACAAATATTTTAAAAATTATAAGAATACGCTTGTTGATATAAGGTGAAATAATAAGCAAATATCCCTTTTACATTATAAGAATATAGTTAAAAAGCTAACGTAATGCCTAAAATACTTTAGTATTCAAGTCCATTATTTCTTTAGGTCACTCTTTGACGGTAACAAATGATCAGACCAGACACTCCCACTCGTATGCAACCTTACAATATTAATAACATAGTAGACAGCGGAAGGTCAAGAGCAAATCTAAAATAAACATACAGTATTTTCCTTTAAACTATGAACACTTAACATTTATTTATTAAATTTATAGTAATATTTAATGAAAAATTGTATAAAATGAGAAAGTGTTTTTTTTATAAACTTTATTGTACAAAATATTAAAAAAAAATCCAAAAGGTGGACTTCAAACTAAAAACACTAGCGTTTTATACCAATCAATCTTTAGGTTATAAAAACAATTTTCATAAGTCCGATACGCGAAATACAATAAAAAAAAAGATTTAATGGCTAAAATAACGTTTTTTTTATTCTTAGTTCATGTAACGGTGTCTGTTATGATTGTATAGACATCGTTTATTCGTGGGAGAGTGAGATAGTGAACTTTCTAGGAAATGTTATTAGTAGGACTTACGAGAAAATGGAAGTGTTGCTATATATATCTCCACTAGCTTGTCACAAATTTAGAATGTACGAATCAGTCAGAATTTGATTATACATATGTATAGTTAAAATAACGAAGTAATTTTTATATAAAAAAAACCCAAGCTTTATTGGTATAGATTGTATATTTTTAGATAAATTGTAGAGTATATAGTAAAACATTAGGTATGGGATTGCATATAGATAAAATGGCCGCCGTAATTCAGTTTGAACACAAACTAAATAACGGAGTTTTAACACACACTAAACTTTTTCCAAGCTTTCCATGACCGTTTTGCATAAATGTGGTTGAATTTTATTGATATAGAGCTGAATTTGTTCAGAATTGGCCTTTTTAAATAAAACTGTTTTGTTGGAAGTTTTTACGGCTTTATTTTGATTTTTTGTTTCTAACATTTCGAATTAGCAAACATGGTTACGGGAGAGACGGTTTTTGACGACTAAAAAGTGGCCTCATCACGTCTAGTATTTAGTAACATGGTAAGTAAAACAAATGAGAGTAAACCAGTGTTTAGTTTAGTAGTCCTGGCTCCGACAAATGATACCTAATGATTGTATTGACATAGCAAAACTGGGAAAGTTATTCATGCAAATATTTTATAAATAAACAAAATAAAATAAAATAAAAAATAAAAAAGCCTTTTTATTTCCTGCAAGAGTAACAAAAGTAAACAAACAATTAGTTGAAAAAATAGTGCAGTAATAATATTATAATGTAAAATGTAAATAAGTGTATAAGTTGTTATTATTTTTATATATATATATATATATATATATATATATATATATATATATATATATATATATATATATTTATGAAAGTAAAATAATGCTTAATCATGCAAATATTATAAATGTAAAAGTTTATGAGGATGGGTGGATGTTTGTTACTCTTTCACGCCAGAACGACTAAACGGATCTAGATGAAGTTTGGCACAGAAATAGATTGTAGTCTGGAGAAACACATATACTACTTTTTACCCCGTCTATGTAGCAAATATACGTAGTTTTAAACCGTTAACACCCTTAATATTCTACTTACACTTTTAGTTAATAAAATTATGTTATTCAACATAATTAACCCTTTCAATTATGTTTTTTCGCAATTTATTGCTTTGTCTACATCTTACTAGAATATTACATATATAAAATAGCTAGATTATTAGATTAATTCTACTCCATTAATCACTTCCACTGTATATATATGGCCAAGAAATCTCCATACTAACAAAAAAAACTAATTTGATTCGAGTTTCCCTTTAAAACGTCGATCAAAAGTACGTTAATCAAAGTCAAGTCAATACATTCTAGTATAGAGTGAAGTCTCTATCAATAAATACCATTTCAATCATTTGGTGAACCATCAGGTGTCATAAGCTATGAACAGCCCGTCTCTATACCGCCACAGCTTTATTGATGTCGAACAAAGTGTACACGGACAGTGATCGACAGATGGATGGAGGTTAAATGTAGATAAAGTTAGCAATGAAAAGTTGGTTTCAAATGATTGCGGGATTCTTGTAATGTTCTAGAGATTTTAAATGTTTAAAAAAAATGGGTGTGCGTAACCTTTACACGCGGTTGAAGTAAAACTCCTTTGGCAAATATCGTAATTAAATTAACAGATATCAATAATTAAATAAGGCATATTAGGTATATTACAATCATATATTTATAGAATATCATTTAAGGAAATAATATAATATTACTAGGAGAACCCACGGCTTCGCTTGCGCTAAAACTACAAAAATATCTGAAAAAGGTAGTTTAATACAAACTTTCATCCCCTATTTTAAACCCCCTTAAAGAATAAAATTCGAAAAATGCTAAAACACGTATTTATTTTATTGAAGAGCATTATTACCAAATTTCAAGTAATTCTGATCATAAATATTTTTTTGAATTGTATTGTAACGTGGTTTCCCGTGGGAATTAGATAATCTCCCGCGGTAAAAAGTAGCCTATGTCACTCTCCAGCCCTTCAATTATCTCCACACAAAAAATCACATCATCCGTCTCTCCGTTTCGACGTGAAAGAAGGATAAACAAACAAACACACTTTCACATTTATAATATTAGTATGGATATTATATATTTATATATTGACAATTGTGTCAGACAAATAACATCAGTTACCATGGCAACAATTAATCATGTATCTCATTAATTCGCCGGCTTAATTGTATATAATTTATGTGTCTCTTTCTCGTGTCGCATTTTCGTTTCATCCAGTCTCAAATCACAATGATTCTAAAGAAGTTTCACTTCAAAAAAAAATGTCTTCATAGGATAAAAAAATCTAATGAGAAAAAATAGTTTTTTATTGTTTGTTTATTGTCCGAAAACACTCATTTTTTTTGACAATAAACAATCATTTTTTTTAAATTAAGGTTAGTCTGTTGCTCTGTTTCTAGTTTAACAATGACCAAAGGAACATTTTTTTTAATAAAACAATTTTTTTGAGTTTTGTTCCCGACTATTCAAATATTTTACTTTGGTCACACAAGGGAAGTTTTTGATGTCTTAAAGTTATACAATAATTAGGCAGAAAAGTACATGAAATAATCAAAATTAAATCGCTTTTGCATTGATATTACGGAGTTTCGGATAACGAGTGCTAATTTCGTGAAAATACTTAATACTAGCGACTCACCCTCGCTTCGCTCGGGTTCGTCCTTAGGTCAGCCAATACAAACTTTCATCCCCATTTTCACTCCCTTAAGGGATGATTTCCGGGATAAAAAGTTTTCTATGTCCTTCCCAGTGTTTCAAACTATCTTCTTACCAAATTTCATCTAAACCGGCTCAGTAAATCCAGAGATTACTCCCTACAACCTCAGAAACTCACAATTTACAAAGTCACAAACTTTATAACA